GTCAACTGAATTATTCGTCCGAAGTTATGTCTCCGGAGGTTACTAACTACTGCAATCAGGCTGTCCTTGCTGCGGACTGTGGATTTGGCTTCAAGGTCTCATTCTTTATGTGGTTTCTTTTGTGACAACCCTCGTGGATGCTGTATTCCAGATCTTCTTGCGTTTGAAGCCTGCCGCTCGTTTGTTGGGGTGTCATCACGGACCAAATATGCATCCGTGGACCTCCTTTGCAGATGCATTTTGGTAACATTATTTAGACTTAAATGCACGTGGTTTCCATGACCTTTGAACGCACCGGATGGCAGGCCGACGGGCGTCATGTTCCGATCACACATATCACACCATACCAAAGGTGACACCTGGTCGCTGTTGTCTATCACGGCACATGACAACTGTCACTTCGCTAGTGAAGCCTTTTTGTAGCGCGCTTCTTTATGTGTGCTGAACCCGCAGCTCATCGTTGGCGTTGGTGTTTGAACATCCGCCGCATGGCTGCTTTTTTTCGCCTGCACATTGGACCTTGCGCAAACGGGTAAATAAGTCGCCCTATCGACCTCCGTCCTCCACCTCCTCCTAGCTCACTCATATGTCCTCCATATTGAGAGGTGTCCTCGTTGTATTTTGTATAGGTGACAACTCGTGCGCGACTAATATGCCCTGTTCTAAAGGAGCAAGTAAAAGAACTAACACCCCGTCAGAGGTGGTTTGCAAGAGCAACATATCCTTACATTTCCGATACAAACGAAGTGTCGTGTTCCGAGTCCCAGATATGGCAACCTCCCTCCTCCTGGTTCACTCAAATGCCCTCCCCCTTCCTATTTAGATACCACCTTGGGACGAACTGTGGCGCTATGGCGGGGAGTACCGCGCCGTGGCCAACAACTCGCACGGGTTTGCTGACTGTCGCACCTTCGTCCTGTTGGACACGGAACTGCGTCTCCGACCGGTGGACTCCAGCAAACCCGCCATCGCCGGACGCTCCCATGACCTCAAGTGTTACTTCATAGGCAGTGGTATTCCCAAGGTAGGTTCCGCGCTTCCCAGAGTCAGAGCATTCTAGAGGGGGTGGGACTGTGCTGACCTTGGTAGCAGCTGCACTCAGTAGTAAAAAAACCAGCCAGTTAAATAAAAGCAGCAAAACTGTCCTGTAGGGCCGCCTAAATATCTATTCCCCCTGCCCAACTGTCTCACGGAATTGATAATCAAACGTTTACTCCTTGGCTGCGGAGTGCAAATGACTACTATTTAAGTGTGTTTAAAGTGATCAAATTTTGTTAAAGTAAAACTACTTATAATTGTTTTCATGAGCTAAGTATAATCAATTCCAACATAAACTCCTGTTGCTCAGGCAACTGATGCCTATTGATGGAAATTCGGCTTTGAATTGGCGGAAATTAACGAAAAAAGGCTACTGAAGGTGTAAAAGTAGTTAATTATTATAAGTCAAATACAAATGGGACCTCTAAAGTCAATTCAACCAGTAAAGCATTCATTGATGAACGTTCACCCGACCGCTAACAGAACTCATCTGTCTCGGCCTGCCTGGGCTCTCGCATTAAGCATTTTCTTTTTCCCCCGCTCGTACTCACTCATTCCCCCTTTGCAGTTACAATGGCTACGGATCAAGAAGGACCAGCGGGTGGAGCGTGTTCCCGTGGATCATCGGCACCAACTGTTGGAAAACAATCGTGTCCTCCGTATCACCGAGGTGAATAAGGAACAGGATGAAGCCGACTATCGCTGTATCGCCACCCTCATGGACATGACTGACAACATCACAATCAGTCTCAAGGTCTCCCGTAAGAGCTTGATCCCCTTTTATAGCCAACTCTCTGGCTTTTGCAGTAAATTATTGATTATTTAAATATTATATTTAACTTTGGACATTATGCCTCACATTTTAGGAGCCCCACGGATTCAAGATCTGCCCGAAGTCCAGAGGGTTCAGGGTGGACGCCAAAGTCTGACCTACAGTTGCGCTGTCCAAAACTACGCTGATAAACCCTGGTATGCTTGGTGGCAGTTCCAGCCTGAAGGCACCAACGAAGTCATCGACCTGCCGCCGAAGAGTCAGCAGAACCCAAGGGCCTTCCAGGTTGCGGTAAGTTTATCCTACGACTCTTCTGAATTTTCTAATGGAAATTTTTGCAACTTTAAAACGTATTTTTCTTCAAAACAACTGCATGTATATGCATGGAGAGAGAAAAAGAAGTAAACGGAGGTAAATGGCTATTTCCGAGTCTACTCAAAGATTTTCCGCAGGATTTCAATTTTAGTCGGGTACTGTTCAATTCAACGAAATAACTACGTGCAAGTTGGATGTTTTATTTCTGCTGCGCAAATACATCTAACTCGAATACTTGGTGTCATGCAAAAGACCGCAAACCTGTCACATTCATTTTTTGACTAAGTGGTACAACCATGAGGATTTTAGCTCATGGTTTCAACCCCTCTCAACACTAGAGCTTGTTGTTGCAAGTTTTTTTCAAACGTCATTAATTTGGCGGACATTCTCTGACGAGATTTTACGGAGGTTCTTTTGTGGACCGAATGCATCCAAAAAAATCAAACCCAGTCCTCTTCCCGACTTTTTCTACCTT